AACATCACATGACACAACAGCACACACTCATTAGATGACTAGCTACGCACACACACACACACACACACACACACTGCTGTTACTGAGGCAGAAGGAGACGGTCAGCATTAGTTACTTACATGCAGGGAGGCCATTAGGGGGAGACAGCGTGTAAAATGGACAGGGCTCAGTTAAACACACAATACAACACAGCTTAAACACACACACACACACACACACACACACACACAGCTGTATGAGCCAAACACACACACACACTCTCTGAGATCTCATTCATTAGCATGGAGACTTTATATACACATCAGAGAGTGAAGGAGCAGCGGCGGCTCTCGTGGCACCCCAAACCCCCCCCCCCCTCCCCATCCCCCATGAGATAAACACACTGCAGCATTGACTTTATATTTATATGAAGTATTGTAATGTATATTTTAAATATAAACATTTAAAATAATTATTATAAATTCATTTAAATATATTGATTTATTTTCCATAAATATAAAAAACATTATAATTATTATTATTATAAAACTATTTGAATTATATATTATAAATTATTATAATAATTATTATTATTATTCAAATATTATTCTAAAACAAATAACAGAAATCAATCCTAAGTGTAGCTGAAACACAATGTAAAGGCACTACTGGAGTAATATTCTGAGGCTTTTGTGTGAATAGTGATTCTGACAGCTCTGAAGATTATTCATATATCTGTTTTATAGAATTATCTGTCGCCGGGAGTTGATGGCATGTAGTGTCACTGTGTCAGTCCTTCATGTGTGTGTTGTGAGTGTGTGCTTGTGTGTGTTGTGAGTGTGTGCTTGTGTGTGTTGTGAGTGTGTGCTTGTGTGTGTTGTGAGTGTGTGCTTGTGTGTGTTGTGAGTGTGTGCTTGTGTGTGTTGTGAGTGTGTGTTGTGTGTGTTGTGAGTGTGTGTTGTGTGTGTTGTGAGTGTGTGCTTGTGTGTGTTGTGAGTGTGTGTTGTGTGTGTTGTGAGTGTGTGTTGTGTGTGTTGTGAGTGTGTGTTGTGTGTGTTGTGAGTGTGTGTTGTGTGTGTTGTGAGTGTGTGTTGTGTGTGTTGTGAGTGTGTGTTGTGAGTGTGTGCTTGTGTGTGTTGTGAGTGTGTGTTGTGTGTGTTGTGAGTGTGTGTTGTGTGTGTTGTGAGTGTGTGTTGTGTGTGTTGTGAGTGTGTGTTGTGTGTGTTGTGAGTGTGTGCTTGTGTGTGTTGTGAGTGTGTGCTTGTGTGTGTTGTGAGTGTGTGTTGTGTGTGTTGTGAGTGTGTGCTTGCTGTGCTTATTTGAGTTGTAGGTGGAGTTTTCCACACGGCTTGTCCAGGATTGGATGACGGCCTGTGATGTCACAGGGGATTCCCGCTATATAAGGCTGATGTCAGCTCAGTGTCTCTCTCTGGGCTCTCGGTGGCCTGTGCTCAGGCTGTCCGGCTGGCGGAGCTCTGTGCATCTACATGACGCTGTTTCCAGTGTTCTGGTTAACTTCTTGATCCTTTAGCTTTCTCAGTGTGTTATCTAGCTTCTTTATTTTGATACCGGGTTTGTTTTTGCAGCAGGTAGTGGATTATTGCTCATAGGCAGGTTTTGGTATTTATTTAGTTTAGTGAAGGAAAGCAGCGGCCCGGAGGATTCACCTGCTGCAGGTAAGATCTGTCCATTAGGAACGGCTATAGTCAGGGAGCTGTTTCGTTTAGCTGCCCGACCTGTCTACAGGACTTTGTTAATATTTTATTGTCTCTTTTGACCTCAATTTGTTAATTGTCCATTCATATGTTCAGCTCAAACCTTGATGCTGTTATTTAAGTCAGTTTTGGGCAGTAACAGTCGTGTTAGTGAGCTCCCTGACCCATGACTCCTCCATTCTGCTTCATAGATATGCTCAGTCAGAGCATCTTCATCGTCATCATCATCATCATCATCATCTGATTTAGTTTTGTTGATGCATGTAAACACTCAGGATCAGGAGCAGTGTGTGTGAGGCGTGCAGGATTGTTCTTCTGCACACATGTGGATCTTGGTTTCCACCAGCGCTGTCTCAGTTGCACATAGAGAATAACCAACGCATGCGTGCAAAAGACGGCAAATGTGAACAGCCCCAAACCTCTTCATTCTGAATCAATACACCTGCATCAAGTACATCTCATCTTAAAGCTGTCACTGGGGCACTTTTATTTGCACCGTCTCTCCATGCCGCCCCCAGCAAGATCCTGCCCTGGGCGATCGCCCATACTGCCCATGCCCAAATCCACCACTGCAAAGGAGCTCAGTACTTAGAGCTGACAGCGAACAGCAGCACAACGCATACACTGCCTGACTAAAGTCTTGTGGCCTGTTCATTTTTATGAACACAGATAATATCTGCTCTTCTGGTTGATGATCTGGTGTCAGAAGTGTCTCTATGAAAGGTGAAGGCCTCTAGATTTTGCTGATTTGAGCTCAATAAATCTGATCATGTCTTGATGTTGACTGATTTGATGAGGACAGTGCGCTCTGACTCTGCTCAGACTAAAGTGTCATCACTGAACAGAAATAATGTCCAGTATAGAATATAAAGTCCTGCTGCAGTGGAGACAGAATGAAGATTGTGTCTGACTCCATCATGAGCTTGGAGGACTGCATCCATACATCTCTGACATGACTCACATCACTGATTAATAAAGTCATCTGGAATGAAGAAGAAAGCCTCAGCAGGATCCCAGAGTTCATCAAGAGTCTCTGTGTTCATCTTCAACACCTCCTCCTTCATCAGCTCAATAATGTTGATGTCTGGTGACTGGGCTGGCCAATCATGGAGCAGCTTGACCTTCAGGAGCTTTGATGTGGAGGCTGAAGTATGAGCAGGAGCGCTATCCTGCTGGAGAATTGTCCCTCTCCTGTGGTTTGTAATGTAATGGGCAGCACAGATGTCTTGATACCTCCTCAGGCTGTTGATGTTGCAGATCTCTCGCACACCCCCATACTGAATGCAGACCCCAAACCATGATGTCTCCTTCACCAAACTTGACTGATTTCTGTGGGGATCTTGGTCCATGCTGGTTCCAGTAGGTCTTCTGCAGTATTGGTGATGATTGGGATGCAGATCAGCAGATCCAGCAGAGAAATCCACCTTCTGACACTCTTACACACGATTAACTAGAAGACCAGTTACTATCTGCTGCTCTGACAGTCGAGATCCAGCACAAGACTCCTGTCAGGCCGTGTAGAGGCTCTGCTCACTGAGGAGAAACACTCTTACCCAGACACACACACCTGCTCACTGACACAGCACAGCAAACGTGTGTGTGTGTGTGTGTGTGTCAGCAGGTGGCAGTGTTTCCCTGATCTAACAGTGTCAGTAGGTCAGTAGATTAATATACACACACACACACACACACACACACACACACACACACACACACACACACACAGGCTTACGATACACACACGCACACTAACACACACACACACACACACACACACACTGGAGGTGGTGTGGAGAGACCCCCCCCCATCATAGTGAAGCACTTTGGATGATAAATGGGCTATATAAATGCGCACACACACACACACACACACACACACACACACACACACACACACACATCTGGACTGACTCTTCAGTAATGTGTCGGTGATCTGGCCGGTGTCATTACAGCTCTCACACACTCAAACATACAGCTATACACATCAGAGGTGTGCACTGACACACACCACACGACTGGATGAGTGTGTGTGAGTGTGTGTGTGTGTGTGTGTGTGTGCTGCTTTACCTGCGTTGTGTTTGGCTAAGTACTTGTCTTTGTACTGTTTCTTCTTCTTGCCGAACCATGTACAGCTGGCCTGCTGCTCCTGCTTGGTCTTCTCCATCGCGATACACGCCACACGCCTGCACACACACACACACACACACACACACAGTGAGAGACACACATCTCTCTCTCTCACACACTCTCTGTCTCTGTCTCTCTCTCACCACTCCTGCAGCTCAGGTGAGGGGATGAGGCCCGCGGTGCCGTTCTTGGTGTTCTCCAGCTTGCCCTGCCACCAGTTGTGGTCGTCTTTGCTGATGATCTGGATGATGTCGCCCACGCGGAACCGGATGCCCGCCTCCTTACAGGGGATCAGTTCGTCTTTCGCCGGGTCGTACTCGAACTGCGCCCGTACGTAAATCTGCACACACACACACACACACACACAAACACAGCGGCCGGCGGTCACACACTGGAGGAACACACAACTGATACTCCATCACTGATAATCAGGGCTGATGGGACTGAGCTCAATTACACACACACACACACACACACACACACACACTCCAGCTGCAGAGACTCCGTCAGGATGAGGATGATGACGGCATATTGAGTAGGGGCGGAGCTTTTGTTGTGTGCAACTGAAATAAAATATTGAGTAGGGGCGGAGTTTTCTTTCAACGCGACTGAAATAAAATATTGAGAAGGGGCGGAGCTTTGTTTTAGCACAACTGAAATAGTGAGTAGGGGCGCAGCTTTCCTTGAGCAAAACTAAAATACTGGTTTGTGGGCGGGGCTCTCTTTTAGTACAACTGAAATATTAAAGAGAGGGTGGGACTTTCTTTTAGAACAGATGAAATGGAATATTGAGTAGGGGCGGGGCTTTATTTTAGCGTAACTGAAATATTGAGTAGGGGAGGGGCTTTATTTTAGAGTAACAGAAATATTGAGTAGGGGCGGGGCTTTATTTTTGCACAGCTGAAATATTGTGTAGGGGCGGGGCTTTATTTTAGCACAGCTGAAATATTAAGTAGGGGCGGGGCTTTATTTTAGCACAGCTGAAATATTGAGTAGGGGCGGGGCTTTATTTTAGCACAGCTGAAATATTAAGTAGGGGCGGGGCTTTATTTTAGCACAGCTGAAATATTAAGTAGGGGCGGGGCTTTATTTTTGCACAGCTGAAATATTGTGTAGGGGCGGGGCTTTATTTTTGCACAGCTGAAATATTGAGTAGGGGCGGGGCTTTATTTTTGCACAGCTGAAATATTGAGTAGGGGCGGGGCTTTATTTTTGCACAGCTGAAATATTGAGTAGGGGCGGGGCTTTATTTTTGCACAGCTGAAATATTGAGTAGGGGCGGGGCTTTATTTTTGCACAGCTGAAATATTGAGTAGGGGCGGGGCTTTATTTTTGCACAGCTGAAATATTGAGTAGGGGCGGGGCTTTATTTTTGCACAGCTGAAATATTGAGTAGGGGCGGGGCTTTATTTTTGCACAGCTGAAATATTGAGTAGGGGCGGGGCTTTATTTAGCACAGATGAAATGGAATATTGAGTAGGGGTGGAGCTTTCTTTCAACAGAAGGTGGGGCTTTCTTTGTGTGTGACTGAACTAAATATTCAGTAGGGGTGGGGCTGTCTTTTTGTAAATCACTCCCTCATAACAAACCAGGGGCGTGGTTAAAAATATTGATATTCAGGGACACAGCACAGGATGGCAATAATCAATTTCAGCAGGAAGTAAATCAGCATATTGAGATTAAAGTGTCTGCAGCTAACACGTTACACACACTATAAAAATAACACACACACACACACACACACAGTTTGAGCTGAGCTGGTGTGTTGGAGACACACTGCTTCTGTGGGTTCCCTCTGATCTTGGATCAGCCCTGATTATGCTGTGACGGTGTACAACTTCCACACAATCGACCAATCAGAGGCCAGCGACCCTACTGACGGACAGCACGGGCGTGTCTAAGAAGCCAATCATCTGTGTGGGGGCGGGGTCAATCACACTACTGAACCACACACAGAGGCGAGAGGCGGGGCTAATGTCACGGTCCACCACTATGGGCTGCTGGGAGTCTACAAGCAGCAACTAGAGAAGCAAAGCCTGATGGGAAATGAACCCGCGCCTGAGGGTCAGCTGACACTCACCTTACGACCCAGCTTATCCTTCACTGCAGCTCTGGAGATCTGAGGGTTTAAACATCACACACACACACCCACACACACGCAAACACACGCAAACACACACGCACACACACACACACACACACACACACACACACACACACACATCATGCAGTAGAACAGACAGACAGAGACAGGAAATGGAAGGACGAGGCAGGAAATGCGTTGTAAGCAGTGGATGAAGAGAAGCGCGTCACATTAAAGGCGTGCTCACACTCCTGAACCTGCGCTCACATGATGTGTGTGTGTGTGTGGGATTTGTGTTTAAATATCTGTGTTTGTGTGTGTGTGTGTGTGCGTGTGTGTGTGTTTTGTCTGTTTGTGTGTGTGGGATTTGATTTGGGGGAACAGAGATAGACAAACGCACAGACAGACAGACACACACACACACACACACACACACACACACACACACACACACACACACACACACACACACACACAGGTGATGATGGTCCTCGGCGGGGGTCTCACCTGTCTTCCTTTGGGCTGGATGGTGGAGGGCAGATCCTGCAGAGAACACACACCTCTGCTTACACTGCTCAGTTAATAAACACACACTCATTTACAGATGGAAATACTCATTACACATCGTCATATCTGTGTGTGTGTGTGTGTGTGTGTGTGTGTGCTGCTCTTACCAGGATGGAGCTGGTGACGCTGGAGTGTCCGTTAGCTGGAGACTGTCTGGACAGATCTGGAGACTCTTTCTGAAACACAGCAGTGTGTGTGTGTGTGTTACTACAGCAGTGTGTGTGTGTAGTGTGTGTGTGTGTGTGTGTGTGTGTTATTACAGCAGAGTGTGTGTGTTATTTGTGTGTGTGTTATTACAGCAGTGTCCCAGCGTGAGGCGCTGGTGTCAGACTTACGTCACAGGACAGAGACTGGCTGCGGTAACTGGGCACGATTTTGAAGGTGATGCTGCCACGCATCTCCCGCTGTCAGGAAATAAAAAAGACATTTTAAAAAATCATACTTTAATAATAATAATTATTATAATTAATTATTATTAATATTATATCATTATTATTATTATTCAGTATTATTATTTTTGTTATTCATTTTTCATTCATTCATTCATTTTCTTGTCGGCTTAGTCCCTTTATTTATCCGGGGTCGCCACAGCGGTATGAACCGCCAACTTATCCAGCAAGTTTTTTATGCCTTCCAGCCGCAACCCTTCTCTGGGAAACATCCACACACACATTCACACACACACTCATACACTAGGGCCAGTGTAGTTTATCAGTTTCCCTATATCGCATGTGTTTGGACTGTGGGGGAAACCGGAGCACCCAGAGGAAACCCACGCCAACACGGGGAGAACATGCAAACTCCACACAAAACACTAACTAAGCCGAGGCTTGAACCAGTGACCTTCTTGCTGTGAGGCGACAGCACTACCTACTGCACCACTGCCTCACCCTTATTCATTTTTATTTATAATTATTTTTTATCATTATCATTATTTCTTATTATTCATTATTATTATTATTACTATTATTGTTTTTATTATTATTATTATTTATTATTATTATTATTTATTATCAATTATTATTATGT